TTCTCCTAACTCAAGTTTGAGTCCAAGGGGCTCAGCACAGTGCCCAGGTTCTGTAGCACCAGCGAGGATCCTGAAATACTTTAGGTACATTTTTAACTCAAAATTTTGCCCGGGCAATGCCGTTAGACTACTCTTTTCAATTTCCTACTGTCAAGAGATTTTTTACGTGCGCAACAATGCACACGGGCATCTGATCTCACTACCCAGAGACCAGGAGGAATCACTAGAAGTCCATTTCCACGTGAAAAAAATCCTAGCCCTTACAGGTGATTGAACCCGGAACCTCTAGCACTCGAGGCGAACGTCGTGCCTTCGGGACCAAGCTGCCCCCTATCGCAGTATCAATTTCACACCACACTGATCACGCACAAACTGCACAGTTGCTGTGCGAGAAAAAGCCACACAAAAATTGCTAGCGCTCTTCCTTGTGGGAAACAGAACAATGAGACAGACCGTAGTCAAAGCAAAAGCATTCATATGTATTAAATGCATAAGGCAGCCGTTAGAAGTGCCAGCATAAACAATACGTCTGTATAAATGCAATTCATCGTTGATATGAGCAACAGTTACTACAGATCAGCAGTTGCACACGCAATTAATCGCATATGGCCCGTCAGTTCGGCGGCAACATAGTAACTTGCCATTTTCTGAATCTGCGGTTCACAACACAAACCACAGTCTAAAAGTGTGAAAGAGTTAACAATTTTGACTAGGAGTTTATTTACACATTGAAATCAATAACACATTTTAATGTTTGTGTGAGTTTCTGCATGAAAACCAGCATATGTCATCGATTGACAGATGGTCACATAAGGTGACATATGGACACAGTTTTGCATTTCTATGAAGCCAACCGATTTTTAATAATCTAAGCAGTTGAAATAGTTGAGCGTCGTTTGCTAACTTTATAAGTACATTGCTTTTTAAAAATATAAGTCTAGTTACCGAAACAAGAATATATTAAAGAAGAAAAATTAATTTCTTTTGCGGTCACAGCAGATAAGTTTTATAAATTAATATCCTGTGATCACATTTGAAGAAATTTTCTGTATTGCTTGTTATTCTAAATACTTTACAATATGTTTCACAAAGGCAGACTTGTTTTAGAGATTGCTAGGTGCACAAATGGTCAAACATGTTTGCACGGTTTAACAGATGCTGAGTGAAAGTGTTCAAAGTTACATTCAATTAAGGAGGAATTTCGGGCTCTCAAGTGGGATACAATAAATTCGACATCTCGGTAAGACACTTCTCTTTTTTTTTTTTTTCCTGTCGAGGATAAAATTTAACATCTGAACCAGCACAGTTCATGGCAATTACCATACGGCCCTGAATCAACAAGTTTAACACCGTCACATATTTTTCTACCTTTTACCCCCCCCCCCTCCCCCCCCCCCCCCCCCCCCCCCCCCCCCGACCAGTGAGGTTTAGTCTGTCAACAACTTCATACTAAGTTGTTCGTTCCTTTGTCTTTGCATGCAGTACACCAATGTCCTTTCCATTTTTTGTTTTAAATTTACTCTTTAGCCCACTACTTCGTATGTTTTTGTTCATTCTTTATGTTTATTTCCCCGTGGGTTACAGTGCAATGGCAGTTTAATTATTTCACTCTTTTGTTTGTTTTTTCTTTAAAAAAAAAAAATGTTTTCTATTGAAAGTGAGTGTCTTTTCTTAACATCCGTATTCATTGGAATTTGTTTAGTTCTATCCTAAAGCTATCCTAGTAGTTATTCCACCATACCATTTCATTCCGTCTGCCCTGCATCAGTTGGTGAATGCTTGGAATTCATACGTATTTCTTCTTCTTCTTCTTCTTCTTCTTCTTCTTCTTCTTCTTCTTTTTCCCCCTCACAATTGACAATTTTCCGTGCTTGCTTGCTTGTTGTACCCCACCAGGACTCCACACAAGCAATAAACACGCGGTGACACAAAGTGCCATCATGCGGATGAGTATCACCCATGGAGAGGTCCCAGAAACCCTTTTCAGTCGTTATTGCCACATTTGTGGCCCAGCTATATTTAGGGCCCGCGGAAAAAGCTAGGGGGCTTCAAATAACGAAAAATTGCATCTCGCCAACGGACGACTTGAATATTTCCAGTTTCCTTTACTTTCTTCACTATTTCCTAATAAGCTATCAAGATCAAATTTTTCAGCACATTTGGTAAATAACAGTGAAAGTGGTGCAAACAATTTTTCCATTTCTTTTCTTAAATTGACAGTGTATGTTTACAACAACACACACACACACCCACACACACACAAAATGTTTAGTAGTAATGTATGCCGGGATCACGTACGCCTATAGTTGTAGGTCGATGCGTTTAGATTAGGGGTCTAATAGAAAGGGTGACCACTTGCCTTCCCAAAAGGAGAGATCATTTTTGTATTCTTTTTGAAAGGTTGACGAATTTTGTGTATATATAAATATATATATATATATATATATATATATATATATATATATATATATATATATATATATATATATATATATTCATAAATGTTTTTAATGTGGAGACAGTTTGCGTAGGGGTGTGCAGAGGGATAACCAGTGGGTACTCAGGGTAGAGAATGGGCGGCCTCTGTGACCACTTTCATTTAGGAGCCTCACGTATTTTTTAGGGGCGATAAGGACAACCTGAAAGAGACTCTTCCTACGCATCTTCACATAATATATAAACAAACATATACACATACAAGACTACATTCACTATGCAGACACGACAAAAGAAACAAAACAGGCGTGGTGGGGTGCTATGTGAAAAGAAAAATCGTCACATTCAACCAACATCCCAGAAGGGATTAGGTTATGACTAGGTTGTGTGCACTAATTAAAATGGCTTAGCACAGCTAGTCACCAAGAGTCCTGAAAAGGACTCCTGCAATATTGATGGGATCAAAGGAGACAGACTCAAATACTGCAACCCCCCCCCCCTCCCCCGGCAACGAAGTCGTCTACAGGCGAGCCAATGAGGGACCCTGTCGCAGCTGAAAATTTGTACAAATGTGCCCATCTATATATATAAAAATCAATGTTTGAGTGTTTGTTTCACCCCTATAGACTCGGAAACTACTGAACCGATTTAGCTGAAATTTTCAGGATATGTTTGTTGTGATACCGGATTTTGAACTGTCGTGGTTTGAAATTCAGCCTGTCACTGTTAGAGATAGGTGACCACAATTTATGCAATAATATACGCAACTAATATTTATAACTTTAGTGATTTCTAATTATAGCCACGTTAGTAATTGAGCATGCGCTGCCGTAGTCAGAACGCGAGGCTTCCGCCATTCGCCGGCGAGTTACGTGCAGCCAACGCCTTCTCTAATACATAGAGTAGGTCTAGGTACAGCAAACAAGACTATCTCTATATTTGCCACAATAGCCATATTAAACACGATTTCTATTTTCTGTTTTTTTTTTTCAAACAACCTTTGATGGGGGGGGGGGGGGGGAATCAAGGACTATCTCGACGTCGGCGCAGACATTGACTGCGACATTAACTTCATTAACCTTGTTAGACACGTGCGATTTCTATTGTTCTGCCGTTTCATTAATATATCTGGAGTATCTGTCTACAAGAAAACAATTGCCTGCGGTTTTGAATTGTGTTTTAATCAGGACACAGAAGTAGGGACACACATCTCTAATTGTTAAGTTCTCTTTTCTTTTATCTGATTAAGTGGCTGCTTGGTCGAATGGTTAGAACACTGGGTTCCTATGCGGGAGACCTGGGTTCGAATCCGCAGTAGTTAATTTTTTTTTTACCCCGGACTAAAATAATATCCTCATCTGCTCTGTCGTGGTGACAGAACTAGCCATGTTGCCTTAAAATAAAAAAGACAAGTAAATGGGTAAACCATTTGATAATTAAATTTGACCATTTCGCATACTTATGATTGCATTATTAAACTTTCCGATTGCATGGTTACGCTGAAATTTTTATAGATTTTCATTTATTTTCATTTAGATTTAGTTATTTCTTCTGCGTTAGAATTTTAAGCTGTGCTGTTTACCATGGCGTTCATTTTCTAATTATAGTGTTTTTTTTTTGTTGTTTTTTTTTTGTTTTTTTTTTTTGCTGTGTTCATTTGCTTTTCAAGTGTTTTTTTTTTCTCCCAACTACTTCAATGAGGGAAAGAGTTGTCGGTGAATTGGGGGGGGGGGGGGGGCAAACTATTTACTGAGAGAGCTTTAAGTCATAGTAACTGCTTTACCCACTTAAAGTAGCAGCAGTAGTAATAGTTGTGGTTGGGCTGTTACACCATAGTGCTCTCATGTGAAGACCGCCGGTAAGGTTATGGCGTTCTTCTGTCGGCAAGTGAAATTATACATCCTAACCTAACCAGTCTGTGGCGACAGCACTAGCCATGCGGAACCAAATCTTCTGGCTCACGACTCTCTGTCTACTCCGATGGTAACACAGATAGCAGTGACATTATTTTAGTAGTTTTACTGGTACTTGAAGGATGATGTGGTAAATATTACATTAGCCCCATTCACTACCTATTACAATTCCTGCTCCCCATTTTAGTCCAGATGGACAGGGATGTCAATGTCAGTTACAGCAACAACAAAATATCGCCAGGTAATGATTTTCAAATATTTCGAAGAGGGAGAAAGCAGTAGTCGGTGGAAGAGGGGAGGGGGGGGGGTAATGACATAAATTTGATAAGGGGGATGGTAGTAGGTGGATTTAGTTGGGGGTAGGGGGTGGTGGGGTGGGGATCAAAGACTATCTCTATATCTGAGCAGACAATGATTGTATTAGACACGTGCGATTTCTATTTTCTTTTATTTCCATTTAGCCAAACTACGCCACAGCAACGCGTGGCCGGGTACAGCTAGTAATTTATAAACAAACAGATGCACACACAAGACTGTATGTGCTTTGCAGACAAAAGAAACAAGCAATAGCGTTCTTTTTATTATAACTGAAATGTCATCAACGTATATATATTACTATATCCGCACAGGGGGACTTGCAGTCAGCATAAAATGAACAATTTAAACAAAGTATTTCTGTGTGTACTCGTCATCATTACCCTGACTCTGCGTGTGGGTGCACTACAGTTCTCTCCAGAACTTGCCGATGTCTACGCCGTCCTGAACAAGCCTCTGTGGTGGACATGTAGCGTACTTAACACTGCACAGACAAGATCTGTCACCTTCATCTGGCGGTTCCAGGATGCAGATATTGTTAAGGATGGTACTAGGATTGCTTACGGAAACGGTACCCTGTACTTTCCACAGGTAATATTTTGGTTAGTGTTTGTTGTCGTTTGTAATTTACCATTAAATACTTTCTCGTAGGTAACTGCGAGAAGCCGCTAGGCCCTTACCGGCAGATCAACATGTCGTGGGTGCAGATCTAGACGCAGCTGATATTTTTTTTTAAATCAAAACTGATCTTGGCTTCCAGGTAGAGGTAGGCTTAAATGGGTACCAATCAAAGTCCTGGAAAGTAAAGGCAGCCGGCATGATTTTGAGCACATTATCCAACGAGTGCCATTTGGTCTATAAAATATAGGCCTAGCTCTATATGCCCAATACACCTGTAGAGGTTAAAAGGGGTCCTTGAATGGTTATCCCTATAGTTTACTTCACTGCGGCGGGCGTGATGTTGGTATTAACCACAGCAACCACGAGTGTTGATTCGTCTATACAAAAATTAATCTAGCATCATTTATGAATGAATCAAGAAATGATATCATTGCTCATCGCCAGGCGGACCAACACTGGCGTCTGTCTCCTTTGATCGGATCAACAATGCATGATTTTTTTTTTTCGAAGCTACTTGCGAGCAATGCTACACCATTTTTATATGGCGCATGAACCCAATAACAATTATAACCTAAAGCTCTCCCTTTTGGGATTTTGGTTGGGGCTGACGATTTTTTTCCCGCAGTGCAAGCCAGTTTAAGACATCGCTGCGCTCGGGACATTACCATATGTGCTCTGTTGCCTTCTTCAATAACCATTTAATAGTACCAGTTGCCTGATGAAAAGTCCGCCTCAGTTTACCCTTCAGTGTTGAATATGAATAAACAGGAATCCTTTACTGACCAATACAGAACTTCCTAAGAATATGTTGAGCAAGAAAAGCAACAGCATGCTCTAAATGAGTTTAACTAAACACACACTTGTAGTTAAATGAACTCAGCTAGACGTTAATCTTCCAGAACCTCTACTCTCCCCCTGTTGATATAGTCTTTCAGTCTATCCATTCAGTATCTGTTCTTTTGCATTGTCCATTTTAATCCCACTGAGCCATCACCACATCCTATATATCATATAGTAGCTCACCGCCCAGATGTGCGGCAGGAGTTAATCTATCACCCTCCTCGTTACCTCATACACCTAAATTTCCTAAACAGAAAATTCACGATGTGCTGTAGATCTGGGTCCTATCAAGTGATGCAAGTCAGTCTGATCGTAGGACAAAACTTTCAATATTTCGAAGCAGGCTCTGTGAGTCTGTTACAATCATAACATGTCGGGCTTTACTGTTCTCAAAGCATCGGATAGCCGCCGTTACTGCCTCCACCTCCATTCTCATACTGAATATAGTGACGTTGTACGCGACGCTCTCTGTTTTCAAACAGTGTCGATTCACCTTTGCAGTAAAGCTCACTCTTTTTACCTCTCTACACAGACCGATCTGTGTAAATTTATGATTTTACCTGGGCATGCATTTTCATTGATCAGCTTTTGCACACCTGACTGTTTTTCCAGCTATCTATTCTCGGCACCCTAAGTCCAACGTAACTATCACTTTCTACGAGTCCATTTTCTTGGGCGGCTTTGTAACCTATTCTTCAACATGTGCTATTGTGTCTGTAGCTAGACGTTATATATCAAATACAGTCTGATGTATATTATATCGGATAGTATCATATATCATATAGCATAATATGTCAAATGCGCCACTGGCGTACAAAGGGTCTGTTATCTACTTTTACAGTAAACACTATCAATATCAGGCCGATCGTCCGCATTAGCACTCATACTGAGCTAGTTTCATGACTGTGCTCACGCATTTGCTATAATCCATCTCAAATTGTCAATGGGTAAACCCATTTACATTTGCGTATCGTCGCATTCCAATTATTGTTTCAGTACCAAGGCTTGGAACCTAGTCAAAAGCCACATGGACGTAGAATTCGAGAAGATTCTACCACATTATACATCCAAAAGAAACTCATCATAGACTATTTTTAGGATTGGAACGTAGAGGAATCTGGCTCAAAAAACTGTTTCGGTTTTCGTAAACTAAAATACTTTGGCAGTTTTAAACGTCATAACGATTTGGAGAGAACAGTAATGTTGGATATTATTCGTTGAAGAATTCGCTTGGAGAGAGCAGTAGTGTTGGATATAATAAAAAACAAGTGTTGACTCGTAATTCCAATTTACCGCAATCGAAACCCACTGCTGGCTGCGTGGATTTGTATCATGGCATGGGGCTTGCATGTCGACCCTACCTAAACTTCGTACCATGATGTCGGTGGGGAAGTAAAGACGGCCGGCGTAATGCACATTACCCACCTAGTGCCGAGTGGTCTCTAAAACTATGTTCATTTGCTCGATGCGCCGAAAGGCATGAAAAGGGATCTTTACTAAGTGTTGAATAGCTCATCGGTGGACACAAGATATCATGAACACCTCGGACGTAAAGTTCGCGACTTGGACATTTTTAAAGAACGGAGTGGCTGTCGATATGTTTTCATGTAAACGTCCTGCAAAATACAGACAATCGTATCATGATACCTTTGTCTTAACCGCATTATCCCTGTTGTTTAATTACATATATTTACGTGCGGACAATAAGTCTTGTTATCATTAGAAAGAAAAAAAAAAAGAAAATCAAAGAAAACGAACTTATTCAGACATATATATGAGAACACAGAACACCTTCACACCATAATCCCTACGCAGTAAATGATTTTAGAGGCACTTGCACTAACCGTTGCAGCTGCTTATGGTAGATTGCCAAATATATGTATGGTTGCCTCGACCAATCTATCAAGCAAACGGTTATTTTAAACACGCTGATCAGTATTGAGTGCTATATGCCTCTTACCTTCGGAGAAGTTATTAATCTCAATTACCGAAAGGCGTTTCTATTTCTCCTCTGTTGTTCTAATTCTTCCTGTGCACTTTTTTCCTTCTTCAAATTATTTCTTTTATGTGAGTCTTCCGCGTTTTACCAAGCAGATTTCGTTTATCCTTCTTCCTCCGCTTTTTGTTTTTCTTTTGTATTATTTGTTCTTGGTTTCCTCCCGTCGTTCTTCTTCCTGTGTTATCCAGCTACCCTTTCATGTAAGCCATTTGCTTCAAGTATAGTGTACTTTCTAGAACGTATATATTTATGAACCACGAGCTCTCGAAATGTGGTTTATTCAAAACTTTAGTGCATTTCAAATGTTGGGCCCTCACACTTAACAAATATCTCGAAAACTCCTATACGAATTAACACGAATTTTGGCACGTAGCCTTAGATTGTCCTTGTCCTTATGATTTTTAATTTACAATTGCACAAGTGCTGCTGGTTTCTCAAAGCAGTGAAATTATTTGATATTTGTTTGAATAATTATGTTTGTACCCCTAAACAAAAACAAAATGTGCAGTAACTGATACACACAAGCGTGCTGACTGTATACTTTGAATCGTAGTCTGTTTTTTTTTTTTTTTTTTTTCTTCATATAATGCAAATAAGGTGAAATAAAAATAGGACATCTGTATACATTAAAAACTATTTCTTACAAGGACATGATTATTATCAAATTACATGCACAACGTTAACATTTACATCAAACAGTTACTGTGTTATAAACTTTTAAAGTTGTACACGACTTGTTGCACGGACTATAGTTCTGCTATCTTGAATGTTCATTCGTCATGCGCTTTTATTTTTCATTTATTTCACCACATGTCTTCTTTGAATCGCTGTACCCATTATTTATACCCGACTAAAATATTTATAAACTTTTAGATCTGACGGTGTTGGCATTTGATGGATAGTTATCTAATTCCAGTTATCATATGTGCTGTCATATTACATCAGTATCACTATTTCACATCCAGGTGTGTGTTCCTGAGCCTCGCTGTGGAAGAATAAAATGCACAAACTGCCACCCAACAAGCATTTCGTAAAAAGGCTAATATAGGGCTTGATGAAATCGGATGTAAGGGGCCATATGGGGCAAATATCTCAGGTGTGCTGTAGGCCATAGCGACTGGGCGAGCGGTTAGAACGCTGGACTCTCGAGCGGGAGAAAATAATGATAACGACTTTCTTATGCATTAGAAAAACTGCATGAAGTAACAAGGAAAGCCAAAGTTAAAACTAAAGAAACTGGGAAAAAAATTTGAAAAATAAATGCCCTGAAACTAGTTACAGACTTTATGAAAGAAAAATATTTGAAATGATTTGACCATGTGCCTAGAATGTGGATGTACCAACTAGCTCAGAGAGCTACATCATCTTCTGATTAAAAACAAATGTGTATATGTTAATATCTTAATGGGTCAAGCAGAAAGCAACTGATGTCACTGGTGGCACAGCATTAAAAAAATTGAAATATCACAGTATGTGTTAGGTTAGTTGCGTATCCTTTACAGGACGTTGCAGAACCAACCCCAACAGCCCCTGGATGTTGTGTAGTTTTTTAAAGCAAATTTACGTCCAGTAGTTTGCCATTGCTTCCTGGACGGTCGGCTTTCCTGATACCACTGTCGAAACCAACGCAAGGCGCATGGCACGCAGCTGGGATCGAACCCGGCATCTCGGCATTACGAAGCGTTTGCATCGACTTAGCCACAGAACCGACCACAGTATGTGTACATAGTTTTATTTGAATACACTCAAGCAAAAATTTCCACCAAGATTTGTTTTTCTTCTTTTTTTTTCAATTTTCTTTTTCTTTTGAATTCAACTGCCAACTACCATTACCAAAAATTGTCACAAATAAGGAGCACACAATGACAGAAAACAACAATACACCATCTGATTTTTCCGCATTCCGAGTCCTTGGGTTTTATTGCTGCAGATATCATCTGCCTGCATTCATCTCTCTGGTTGGCCAACTCTTTCCAGATGTTGACACCAAGTTTTTGTAGGTCAGTCTAAACATAATCTCTCTATCGTCTACTTGGTCTACGATCATTCAGCTCACTTGTATATATATATATATATAGTTTTTAACCATCATGACGCCAGTGATCAATGGCGATTTCAACAGAATGTGAAT